AATGTAAAATAAATCAAGTCCTATTTTGAAGTGACTACTATTATATTGCTTATTTCTGGGTTAAAACTACAGAAAAATGTGCTTATGATCTCTATTAAAGTCATATGAAAATGAAAATCAGTGTCTTGAAAAACACTTCTCATAGAAATGAAAGGCTACTTTGCACTTTCAGCGAGTTTCCCATCCTCACTTAGGTCTGATGAAGCAGGTGGTCGGCGTAGGCCCTGTGCGCAAGTCTGCCCGATTGTGATGCTTGAGGGCACACGCACACAGCAGAGAGTCTAGCTGGCATTAATTGTTCCCAATACCTGCTTTCAGGCTGTTTTCAAACATACATGACAGTGTCAGGGGACGAGTTAAAGAACCAAACCTTTGGTCCAACCCCTGACCCATGGAGAGTGCTTGGTCAGCAATACAGTCCCATTCTTCGTGAGCTACCAGACGAGGACGCCTTCAGTACATACAGCCGTCTTCACAGCTGATGTCCAGCCACTCACAAAGGCTGCCCCATCTTCTGTCTCCCAGGGCAGCTCTGACAGCTGTGCCCCGTGTGCGCCCCACACTGGATCCCTCTGAGCCTCGCTCTTCACAGGGAAGGACCAGTGCCTCAAAGCCCCACAGAGCCCGTGACATAGGAAATGTCTGTGGTCGTTGGACTTGACCCACTTCACTGAGTAGTGTCACCTGGCTGAGTGGTGGGGGCCACTTGATTCAGTGTTTCCCCTCCCATGTGCCCATGGCCAGGTTGGAGAAGCAGCTGATGGTGGAGGAAGATTCTGCTCTTCACCGAGATCCCTGCCTTCTCAACCCCGCTGGCCCACTGGCCCCAAAATGGCTCTGGGAAACCTCTACCAAACAGACTGTGAAAAGCAGCGGTGTCATTTATACAATCACCTTCACATGCCAAGAAAGAAAACACCTAAGTAAACTTGGAACAAAATGACAAGAAGTGAACACCTTCAAGTACGCTCATTTCACACAACCAAAAGAAAACTGACATGCACATGTATTTCAGAAGAGAACGCCTCTCTTTAATTCACATTTCACTTTACTAATCCAGGATTACTTAGCAGGACAGAAACAATTTGGTGTCTGTAATCCCAGCTACTTGGAAGGATGAGATCCAGAGGATCACAGTTCCAGGGCAGCCCAGGCAAAAAAGTTTGTAAGACCACATCTCAACAGGGGGAAAAAGCTGGGCAAGAATCATAAAATAGGAGGATCCAAATCCAGGCCACCCTGGGCAATTGAGATATTTATACAAAACAAATTTTACTAAAGTTACCCACACACACAATGAAATTTACTATTTTAGGATGGGCCAGAAAACTTCGAAGAGCCTGGGTCTTAGAAAAAATTGTTCACAAAGCTCTTTCATCCAATTTTATAGAAGCATCTTTGATGGGAAACAGTGTGTGTCGATAGTCTGAATTATAACAGCTTCATTTCAATCCCATGTCTTTGGCTTCCTACCTCTGCGATTTGGGACGGGCTGCCTAATCTCTGTCCTCACTGTAAGCAGGTATGACACTACATACATACATACATACAACCTCACAGGTTGCCTTGAACATTTAATCAGGTCACAGATGTACTAGTTCAGTGAAAGTACCTGCTATGTATCTCTCAATAAAAAGCACCTACTAATTATTCTTGGAAAGACTCTTTGTCAAAGAGAGACCATATTCTTGTTGTTTTCTTCCTCCTACCCCTTCCCTTCCCAGTTTCCTTTCCCATCTTGTTTTTCTTCCTCTAAACATGACACTTTGAAGATATTTCTGAGCTTTTAAGATCCTAGATCCCTTTCACTTCAACTCTATTTTTCCCCCAGGGAATCTAATCTACTGTCATGACTTTAACTGACAAACTAGAGAGCTGAACTCCTAAAAGCACGTATCTAATTCAAATCTGAACACAAACCTGCTCACTCAACAGCTCCACTTGGAGATCTGGGAAGACCTCAGATTCATTATTGTGAATGAAAAGCGCAACTCACCCTCACTGCTCTGCAAACACAAGTGATGCCACCTCAGTGTGGGATCCACCTCAGTGTGGGATCCATCTCACTATGGGATCTACCTCAGTATGGGATCCATCCCAGTGTGGGATCCATCAGGAACCCTAAGTGTCATCCCTGGAGCTTCCCACAGCTCACTTTCCAGTACATAACCAGTTCCGTTTCACCCCAGAGAGCTCTCATGTATGTCCTTGTCTCCAGAGCCACAGCCACCTACCTATTCTAAGGCCATGAGCTAACAGGGATCAAACTGGCATGTTCACGGGCAATCCTGCCTCCAGCCCAATCTGTGCAGGACATGGCAGACATGATATGCTATCACTCTCCTGCCTACATTAGTGTCCACAGGACAAGAGGACAAATTCCATAAAGCCATTCATATGGCCGCTGCCCCTGTGGCCCTCCACATTCCAAACACATGGGGCCTCTCTAATTCTAACACACGTAGATCTTTCTCCTCCTTCAAGACCTTTATTCACATCCATTCTGTTTCCTCTTCTGGGATATCTGGAAGGCATTCCTACCCACCATTTTGTCATGATTACTAGCTATTTTCCTCCCACATAGGTCTCTGGTGAAACTAGACTTCCTATAGAAGGATTTGTTTCCTGATCTTCCAGACAAGGCTGCTTAATTACGCTTTTGCAAGAGATGCACTTTGTTTGCACGGCACTCTTTGGTACATTTGAAGTTGCTCAGTGTCTATTAGCCACAAAGATACTAGGGACATAAGAACAAGAATGCTAGCTCTCCTGTTTACAGCCATATCTCTTAATCTTATCTAACACCATGCTTGCCTATGTGGACCTACCATGAGAATGATAAATATTTGTTAATTAATAAACACAGAAATGATCTAACTTGATGTGAAAACTGCTCACAATTGGTGGAGAAATACCATAAAACTTTAATTCAAGGTGGACTGTGATAACTTATTACAGGGAAGGACTACTCAATACTATGACAGGGAAAAAACTGTCAGTCCTAGAACAGAAATACATGAGAAAGGCCTGCATGAGGAAAGCTTCTTTCTGAGGCTGGGATATGAAACAAACCAGGGAGAGTTGGCAAGACTGGGCAATCTAGAGGGTAGGAAGTATTCCAGGGAGAGGGAAAGGCTTGGGGAAGACATGGGTAGTCAGGTACACAGATGGTAGACAAATAACTGTGCTGGGTAGAGAACAGGTAAAATGCAGAAATGGCTAACTCCTAGAATTAGGATTAAATAGACTGCCAAAACTGTACATCCATGTTTATTGCGGCACTATTCACAATAGCCAAGTTATGGAAACAGCCAAGATGCCCCACCACTGACGAATGGATTAAGAAAATGTGGTATCTATACACAATGGAATTTTATGCAGCCATGAAGAAGAACGAAATGTTATCATTCGCTGGTAAATGGATGGAATTGGAGAACATCATTCTGAGTGAGGTTAGCCTGGCTCAAAAAACCAAAAATCGTATGTTCTCCCTCATATGTGGACATTAGATCAAGGGCAAACACAACAATGGGATTGGACTATGAGCACATGATAAAAGCGAGAGCACACAAGGGAGGGGTGAGGATAGATAAGACACCTAAAAAACTAACTAGCATTTGTTGCCCTTAATGCAGAGAAACTAAAGCAGATACCTTAAAGCAACTGAGGCCAATAGGAAAAGGGGACCAGGTACTAGAGAAAAGGTTAGATCAAAAAGAATTAACCTAGAAGGTAACACCCACGCACAGGAAATCAATGTGAGTCAATGCCCTGTATAGCTATCTTTATCTCAACCAGCAAAACCCCTTGTTCCTTCCTATTATTGCTTATACTCTCTCTACAACAAAATTAGAGATAAGGGCAAAATAGTTTCTGCTGGGTATTGAGGGGGGGAGCAGGAGGGGGTGGAGTGGGTGGTAAGGGAGGGGGTGGGGGCAGGGGGGAGAAATAAACCAAGCCTTGTATGCACATATGAATAATAAAAGAAAAATGAAAAAAAAAAACCACGCTAAGAAAAAAAAAATAGACTGCCAAGAGCCATTGATGGTTTTAGCACTGGATCACATGATCAAAGATGGTAACAATCTGTTGGCAGATTAAAATGGGGGGAGAGGGTGGAAACTAGTAAGTAGCCTGTTGCAATATTCTGGCCACAAGGCAAGGAGGAAAGTAGCAGAAACCATCCTGCAGCAGAATAACAGCAGGGCTTGGATGGGAGAAGGGGCCTGTCACCAGCTAAACTGAACTCCAAAGCAGAGAAAGGACAGGAGATGAGTGCTTCATGATGTGCTTACATATGGCTTGACCATGTAATTAAATAAGACAGCAGATGCAAGTAAATATCAGGTATGAGGCTCTGGGAATATTAAATTGTGACAAACATTTTTAGTTTTTCCCATAAAACCTTTACTTGTTTATTTTTCCAGTACTGGGGCTTGAACTCAGGGCCTACACATTGAGTCACTCCACTAGCTCTTTTTTGCAAAGGGTTTTTTTCGAGATAGGGTCTTGCAAACTATTTGTCTGGGCTGGCTTCAAACTGCAATCCTCCTGATCTCTGCCTCCTGAGTAGCTAGGATTACAGGGGTGAGCCACTGGTGCCCAGTTAAAACCTGTATTTATAATGAAAGAAAGTACAAAGAATAATAACGCCTGTTTATAATTACTGACTGAATTCTCAATATTCCCTGCACCTAATTTTTATTTAGACTAGGAATCAACTTTCTTCTAATTTGTCATAACCTCCCTCTCTTCAAAGAGTTAATTTCCTGAAATGGCCGAGAGGGAGGAACTCACTCACAACATGCAGAACTTCACTCAGTAGAAGAATATCATTTATGTTTAAAAGAATTCCAGCCTTTGTCATAGGCTCTGGGCACAAAGGTTAAAATGACATACAGAATATCTTAAAAGGTCATTCTAATGTCCAAACTGTTAACATCTGAAATGATGCCATCTCTAACCATCAGGAGAGAATCTGAAGAAGAAGTCACACTTACTTTTGCAGCACCTATCTGTTCTTTTCGGAATTTCTCAAGTGGCGCAATTAATACATCATTAGCGTTTTGAATCTGAAATTAAAAATGCACATATATTAAACGCTGTATAATTCCATGCCAACAATATTGAAAACCTGGCCCACCAGCACTTGCTCTTCTGTTTCCACAGACATATTGTACACGTTGCGCATTTTCTACTTTGCAATTAAGCTCTTTTCATCTATGATCTCACTTGGTCCTAACAATAATGTGAAAATAAGTACTTATTTTAGTGAAACTGTAGCTTGAATGTTTAACTTTCTTCTTCTAAGATTTACAAACACCTTTAATTACACTGGTTTAATGTAGACAGGTCGAGCATCCGTTTAAAATTGAGCCAGGCAAAGCTCTTCCATTTTGCTGCTGGGATGTCAGAACTGCACAGCTGTGGAATAAAGTAAGGTTAATTTTCCACTATTTAATTAGATTCCTCGCACATGGGATTTGCCTGGAAGTTCTCATAGCATTTTCCAAGCTGATTAAATAATATCTGATTTCATTTCAATGAAGAGTATTTTAGTCCCATGTTCCAAACTGGGGTTCGCTGAAACTCTAAAAAGACATTTCTTTTAATACTGATCTTTAAGAATGCTGCAAGTGGGGAAGGGACAAGGTCCAGGAGTGGAATACAAAACTTGCTAAGGAGAACTGTGCTCAAAAGGAATCTTGATTGACAACGCAAAACACCACCTTCCAAACAGACAAAAGCGAGATGCTATTAACAGAATACCTTTGTTAATCATTAATTATTTGTTCTGCCACTACAACTGAATATAACTGATGATCTACTGAGCAAGTGCTACCCTGAAAAGACCTATTTAAACCATATTACATATTTTGATATAAGTTAAACTATGAGTTATGTGTACTACTCTTATTTCTGTAAGTCTGAAATTATATCATAAAAAAAGTTCGTACAAGTTTTCATCTATTCTCATTACTCTGGTCAGTCACTAAGCCAAGCTTTATGTCTTAAATTCCACAGTCCAAGTGCCCAGAGACGAACAATGACATGAACTGGAATGCTGATGTTGCTTCCTAGGGCCCTGGAATCAAGCTGCACAGAAATGTGAAGACAGAGCTGGCAAAACACACACACTCAAGGGACCTCGAGGGCCAACTGTAGCTGCCTCTGTGACCACCAACCGGTTTCTACATGACAGCCCAGGAAGGCACACGCCAGGGACGCTGCACAGGTGTCCTACTGGGCACAGGTGACCACAAACAGTGGTGGAGAACTCTGTTTTAATTCTCACTTCTTTCCCCTCAAGAATTTCAAATACAGAGTGAGGGGAGAGAGAAAGACAGAGAGAGAGAGAGAGAGAGAGAGAGAGAGATCACCCAGTGCTAAGGAGCAGCTGATACTGCCCTTTAAGTCTGCACAGGAGCAAAGGCTACCACAAACATTTCAGCCTAACTTGGAGGAGCACCAGCAATAAAAGCTACCATTTACTGAATGTTTATGCTGTGCTAAAAACTGCAGTGGGTACTTCAACAAGTATTTAAAGTTAGTGAACTGAGACTTAGAGATGCTTCTGGAGTGGTGAAAATGCCACCACCACCAAGGCTGGACAAGATTGCATGCAGTCCAGGACATGTGGCCTGTGTAACCGCGACACAATGACACAGGCTTGTGACTCAGTGCTTACATTCACTGAGTACTCAGCAGTAACAGCTTTTAGTTTCTAAACATGTAGAGTGTGAATCTCATTCAGTATTGATTACATGTTCATACCCAGACCCACTGTTCTCCCTGTGGGTTGATGTGTATCTATATGCACCACCAGAAAATGCTTGCCCACCAAGCCCTGGGTGACAGGTGGCCTGGCTCTCCCACACCCTATTGTAAATGCCTCATTTACACATATGTAAATGTGTGCCACTACACACAAGGCTGGGATCTAGGGGGGAGGGAGAAATTAAGATGTGGGCTAAACTTCCCAGAGACTAAAGTCTCCTTGAAAAGAAAAAGTAAATGTATTTACTGCACAAATATTTTGATGCCTGTAAAGAACCATTAAAAAACTTTAGGAATATTAAAAGCTGAAACTGATCAAAATGAGAATAGTTATGTGATAGGCTACGCAGGAAACTTTATGAATATCTTAGGAGTCTGACAAGCAAGGGTTATGAGTCAATTGAGTATTTAGATGGTTGATGTGATGGGTAGTCTAAAGAGAAAGAATATTCTAGAAACAGACAGTCATGAATAAAGGCAAAAGGGTACAACTCAGCATGGCATATGAGAAGGAGGAGTGCAGCACAGATAATGAAAGCATTTATTAAGAACTCATTACGAGCCCATGATGGCCAGGTGCAGTAGTCAAGCCTGTATCTTATCTACTCAGAGGTGGACACCAAGAGGATTGTATTTCAAATCCAGTACATGCAAAAAGTTAGCAAGACTCCATCCCAAAGAATGGCTGGGTAGAGTGGCACTCACCTGCCACCCCATCTACTGGGGAATCACAAATAGTATTGCATCCTGTGATGTAGGCCAGCCTGGGCACAACGGCAGACCCAATCTCGAAACTAACCAACACAGAAAGACTGGCAGCATGGTTCACGCCATAGAGCATCTGCCTAGCAAGTGCAAGGCCCTGAGTTCAACCCACAGTACCAACAAAAAAAGAAAAGAAAGAAAAAATCATCATGCTTGTGAGTACACTGACAAATTACAGTCCTTCCATTAACTTGTCTAAAACAAGACTCATGGAATGAATGTGAGTGATGTCTGGAAGGCAGGAGACTCTATAGAAGTACCATGCATTGTTGTTAACTCTAAGTTACCCAGCTGGATAGAGAGCACACCCTGTTGTTGTTAAAGATCAATTAAAATAAGGAAAAGCTGGATTATATTCAAATTCTAGGAAAAGAAGCCTGTGTATAGAAATCTGCTGGCCTCTAAACAGAGAAATGATAAAAAAAATCTTTTTTTTGAGAACCGAGGACTACATGAGATAGCTTTGGGAATAACAAGATGGTGACAAGAGAGGTCAACTCCAAGGCTGGAGAGGAAGTCTAGGGTGAAGTGACGAGAGAGGGGACCCAGGACCTCCAGGGCTGGTGGATAGGTAGGAAGGGTCCCAGAGATAGCTCAGTGGGGGCCTTAGCAGGACCATGGACAGGTAACTAGAAGGAGGGAGAAGTAACCTGAGGTGTCTGCCCACTGGATCCTTGGTGCCACATACAGAACTGGGGTAAGGAGATGGTACATATGAGTGGTTCAGGAAAAATACTCTAAACTTCACTTTGGATCTATCACATTTGACACCCCAGGAAAATGCAAAGACTGTGTGGGAACATCCCATCTTGCAGTGGCAGAACTACTCAACAGGAATGAAGGTGTTACAATTGGGGTACCAAGGGTTAGGATGAGGGTGGATGGAGGAGGACCATGCTCTAAATCCTTGGCACCCACACTCACAGGCAAGTCTGCTTGACCCTCTGTGCCTGTCACATAACTACCACCGGGGAAGAAAGCAAAACCCTGAGGATATGATGGACTGGGAGAGTTAACCAGCACTTGGTGGGCATGTACCATTTCCTGCCTCCATGTTTCTTAGTTTTTCTTTTGTTTTTGGATTTGCTTCATTTCCCCTGCCCATGGCAAGTTTTAAACCAAAAAGGGGAGGGGGGAGAAAAACAGCCAATGGGATGGCAGAGATCACCACAAGTGATTTGTTGAGGTCCCCTGAGTGCCATATACTGTACTAGGCGCTTCCTGTTATTAAAAAGTCGACTTTCTATGAGTAATGAAGACAAACAGGACAGATAATCCAGAATACAGTAAGAACACAAGTGTTAAAGTCAGACAGACCCAGCTACCTTTGACTCTCAGCATCAAAATATGTAAAAAAAAAAAAAAAAAAAAAAAAAAAAAGAAAGAAAAATCACAGAAGTGCAGGAGGCATGACTCCTGCATTGTTAAAATACATTGTTTAAAAAATCACAGGAGAAATAAACATATTTTAAAAAATCACTAGCCCAGATCTGGTCATGGCTGGCTCCCGGTGAATGGGGACATCTTCAAGAACTGACTGTCTATTCGATGTTCTTACTCATCCTCCATGAATGATTCCCCCACCAATAATTTAAAATGTAATTATTCAGTGCTGGAACCTGAAATCCAAGTCAATTTAACACAATCATACCCTTTCAGAGGACAGACAGCAGATGACCTACACCAAAATTTTTGCACAAGTCACTGTAATATTTGAGACTTTTTCATCTGAAATATGCTGCTCCTTGTGTGTAGGTCAGTGGCTGCTGTCCACCATATGTGGGTTTGAATTCCAGAGATGGAGATGGGAATGCCAATCCCATTGGCACAGAGTGGGCCTGTCCTCACCCTCATCTTTGTACATCCCTTGGGACCTGTGTGACTTGCACCTGTACACAGCTGCCCATCCGTGGATGAAATGCTTCAATTTTGGAGTAATCCGTGAGTGAAGAAGGTGTTACGATTTTGGTACAATTAACAGTCCCTGTTGCTCCTGGATAATAAGGGAAAATGCCATCGAGAATGGTAGAAAACCTTTAGTAGAAATAGGAACTAGGGGCAACTTTGGGGACAGAGCCTTGTGTAATTTTTTTTAATCCAGACAAAATTTTGGCTGCCATGGAACTCTTTTCACCCACGTTTACATAAAATAATTCCTAATGAGATTCGTTCCAGAAAATCAAGTCACAGACTTCAGGAAATACTAGACCCCACCATGTTTACGGGACGTGTGACTTTGCACGACCTTAACAGGATGTTTTAGGAAAAATACGGAAACAGCCATGCATGACAGTACATGTCTTTAATTGTGGAGACAAGGGAGGTGAAGATGGGAAGATCAAAGTCCAAGGCCATCCTGAGCAAGAAAAGTTAGCACAACCCTATCTCAGAAACACACTGAGCATGGTGGTGCACAACTTAATCCCAGCTACCCAGGAGGAGGGGACGGAGGATAGTGTTTTGGGAAAAACCAGATCCTATCTGAAAAGTGGGCTAAAAGCAAAAAGGGCTAAGGGTGTGACTCGAGTGG